GACAGACAGAGACAGACAGAGACAGACAGGACAGACAGAGACAGACAAACACGAGAGGCAGATGGTTAATACGCATATATTTTGAAGGCCAGTCGACAGGCTAGGCTAGGCTGAAGTGCTTGATGGGCGAACGAAGTGAGTTTTAGGGTGGGTGTGGGGTGGTGGTTGCGTGATGGCACCCTGGTGGGTAGGGTGAACGCAGAACCTGGTGGGGGAGAGCAAAAACATAGGTGGCGTAAATGCAGTCGAAATGTAACTTTTTAAGGGCCTTGGTTATGCGCGTGATGCAATAAAAGTTGAACAGTGCAACAGCGCATCCTTCAAATCATTAGCATCGCCAAGTTGCCAGGATACCGTTCAAGTGGACAGCATTTGGTCTAGTTGTGCGTATTGTTCGCCCCCTGCAAACATGGACGCGGTCGGCTGTAAATACAGCAGCCTGCAAGCAGGCGTGTTTGCGTTATAGAGACCTCAGCGGTATCAGCAAAGGACCGGTTTCCGTATTGCTCCGTTCTACGTGGTCCAACAGATGGTGGGCCGAAATGCAATGAGACTAACGGATTCAACGAAAAGGGTATGTGTGGCGGTGCCCTTTTTGATCGTTTTGTCACGGCTTTGGCGAGGACAAAATCCTTTGCTATCATCTGGGATCTAGCTAGGTCACCCCAAGTAGCTGTTTAAAAACGTCGAAAGACGACTATGGGCACGTGTGGGCCAGTGTCGGTACCCCTTTCGATCGTTTTGTCACGGATTTGGTGAAGAAAAAGAGAACCAACAAAGGAGTGCTATCTGTTCGGATCTAGCTAGGTGCCCCAAGCAGCTGTAAAGAAAATACGCTGAAACACTAGGTGCGCGGCCTTTATTGAGGGCATGTTTGGTGTCCTTTTTGATCCCAGTTTGTACTCCCAGAATTAAATCCTGGGGGTCCAGTACAAAGTATTATTGCTGTTTTTTCCGAAGTCATATGGAGCGGCAGGTTGGCTGACCTTTGCACTGGATACTAGTTGGATTATAGTTCTGACAGCTAGATTCTCTAAAAGGTTGTGATCACAGGAATTTATTTGCAGCCGAGATTATGGATGGATTGTGTGCTTGCAAGCAGATTTTGCATCTAGATATAACCTCTGGCACACAGAATTTGATTTTGAACCAGAATTTTGAGCAGGAAATGATTTGCTTTTATAAGCCTTACAAGAGGTTGGCCACAAGGATATTCTTGTTTTGCAGCATTTCTGTGAACATGTTTGGTACAGTGAACTTTATTGTTAATTTATTTTCAAATGTTGTCTAACTTGTTCAGATGATTATATTGTTATATTTTGAAACCATGCTTGGAGACGTTGGTTCGCACCGTTCTATTTTGAACAGTCCTAAACTAGACCCTTTTGGTCGGTACCAACGGGCATCATTTTGATCGTTTTGTTGCAATTTTGGGAAAGAAGAAACGGGCTCCAGCAAAGGAGTGCCATCTTCTGGGATGCAGCTAGGTCCCCCCAAACAGCTGTAAAGAACATGGCGCTGAATGACTATGCGCGCGGCCTGTTTGAAGGGCATGCGTGGCGGTGTCCTTTTTGAGCGTCTTGTCGAAATTTTGGAAAGAAAAGAGGGTGCCAGCAAAGGAGTGCAATGTTCTGGGATCTAGCCGCTAGGCTAGGTCACCAACTAGCTGTTAAAAAACGTCGAAAGACTATAAGCATGTGTGGTCCAGTGCCGGTACCTTTTGATCGTTTTGTCACGGTTTTGGTGAAGAAAAAAGAGAACCAATAAAGGAGTGCTATCAGTTCAGACCTAGCTAGGTCCTCCAAGCAGCTGCAAAGAAAGCACGCTGAAACACTAGGTGCGCGGTTTTTATTGAGGGCATGTGTGGTATCCTTTTTTGATCGTTTTGTCGCAACTTTGGGAAAGAAGAAACGGGCACCAACAAAGGAGTGCTATCTTCTGGGATCCAGCTAGGTCCCCCAAACGGCTGTAAAGAACAGGCGCTGAGAGACAATGCGCACGGCCTGTTTGAAGGGCATGCGTGGCGGTGTCCTTTTTGAACGTTTTGTCGCAATTTTATAACAAAAAAGGGCGCCTGCAAAGGAGTGCTATGTTGGGATCTGGCTGGTTCTCCCCAAGTAGCTGTAAAAAATACGTTGAGCAATTATGTGCGTGGTCTCTCTGAGGGCTGGCTTTCGTCCACTCCCCTTTCAGGTGCCCTACATCCATGCATACATACATATGTACCGAATTTTCTGCCAGAAAGGTTGCGACGTGAGCGAGGGTTGTTTTTTGAGTGATAAAAATCGTTGCAGTTAAAGAAGGTGCGGGGAATACAAGAGCTGCATGCCGATAGATTGAAGGCTTCATATGCCGCAGCGTCGTAAGATGCACAGTGCAGGAAGCCGAATGTACATTCCCACATTTCCGCTGGCCAGACAGGCAGAAAGCGAAAGCGCGGCACATTCGCTAAGACGCCCAGACACCATGCTCGACGCTCGAGTCGACAATAAGGGGAGAAACGACATTTGTTGTGGGCTGCAAATGTGCAAGCTTTCAGTTTGCAAAAAACTATCAGCCTGTGGACTGAGAAAGACCACGAAGGGATATCTCGGCTCCGACCTGCGTGAAGCTAACTATAGCATTTGCGTTGCAACATCAGACTCATTGGTCATTGGAAGATTGTTCACATGAAGATCTTTCATTGAACCTTTCAAGGAGGGAAGACCATGATGTTAGACTGAGGCAGGCATCAGCAAGAGCCCTGAGGGCTTAGCTTGTTGCAGTGGAACGAAGTGCTCTGGCGAAAGCTTTCGTTGCAGACTTTTCCTTCTCCCTCGTTGGATGCCCTGGAAAAGTTGATTGTGAGCTGGCAGTGCAAGATCCTGAAGTTTGTTGAACATCGGTTCACGGAGTTGAGAACCCGCTTGTAGCTTTCAACAGGTCCCATTGCCAACCCATCCCTGACTTTCCGCACAAGGTGCCTTTCCAGCAGCTCCCTTTCCAATTTTGTACGCACCCTGCCATGACCAGCGATACAACACTACAACATGCACAAGAGTCGAAGGCGTACTTTATTACTATTACCTTTGAAGTTAAGTTTCCTAATAATCGTGAGCTATCCTGCGTCCAGTTACTGGAAGCGAACTAGTAACTAGTCGCCTTAAGTTGTTTAAATGGGCGCCTACTTAATTATGTAGGGAGGCGGGACCTAGCGGGCCAAAACAAATTGTCCTTCACCAATGTCAAACACCACAACCCGCTCTCTCGTGTGAAGGCGGAAAGGAGGGCGCCTCAAGAAGATCCATTCTTTTTCGCAGATTAAGGTATGTGGCCTGTGGGCTGGCAAGGGAAAGTGCAGTGATTTTGAAGGGGATCATTTGCTAGAGCATTTGCGAACCTGTCCAGTGCCCTCCACGGAGGACATCATCCACTGCTCAGACATCATGCTTGAGCTGGGCTAAGTGGGTGGTGGAAAGTGGAAATGGGAAGAGGCTTGCTCAGCTTGCTGATATGCTATGCACCTGAACAAGCTGCTGCACTGATATTGCCGCCACCACCCCGAGCCGCAGCAGTTTCAAAGACTTTCCAAGCTGATGTCAGGTCGTGTGATTTCAATCGCGATGGAGCCCACATGGCCCACTTGCCAAGGTTCTTATTGTGTCCGATATCCGTGTATATATATATATATAAAGTTTAAAGTTTCATTTCCTGACATGAGCTTTGTGTTGCTGTTGTTGATTTGGGTGTTTTAGCCTGAACCCCTTCTCAAATATCCGGACACGTGCGAAAGGTTTGCAAAGCTGCATCAAGACAGCGCCGCAAACGTTTTCCCTGACCCTGAAACTTCACTTTGCACTGATTCAATGTTAGCTAGCAAAAGAGAACACGGCAACTCTGAACCCAGCCTGACCTGCTGGAGGAGTCAGCTTGGGTAGCTCCGTGTATCACTTCATGTTTCTAGTTCTGTCCTTGGGGGTTGAGTTTGTCCAAAAAGGCGTCCAGTCACTTTGCACACTGTCAGCCAGCCATGTTGGGCCATAGCTAACTAAGGCTTTTGACAATTTTGTCATGGGGAAGGGCTTGGAGAATTATTCTGATGGTCTCATAATTACTGTACGAAAATGCATTTTGAAAGCTTTGGGGTAGAGACGGGTTGCATATAGAGTATTTCTAGGACGGTGGACGGACTGCAGGGTAGGGAGAGGCAAACTTTAGGCGGCCTGCGCCCTGCAGCACGGAACGGAGGATCCAAAGCGCGCATGGCCATAAACATGTGGCAGCGGCACTCTGCAGCAGCACCAGCCTCTAAAAGCGCACACTGCCATCAACATGTGGCGGCGGGCGGCATCTTCTCCAAAGCGGACGCAGGCACCTGCTGACCTCTTTCTATTTTTGAGACAAGAATTCCAAAAACATTGGCGATAATCTCGTCTATGTCAGAAATTATCCCGGCAAGAGACCCCAACAGTGTTGCGTGAGAATTGTGCAAGAGAACCACCTACATCTGTCTAAGGCCTAGAGTCCTAGAGGTGTAGAAGCAGAAGGTCTAGAGGTGTGGCCTGGAGGCCCAGACAGATCAAGAGATCTGGAGGTTAGAGGCCTAGAGGTCTTGAGATCTAGGATGTCCGGAGGACCAGAGGTCGTGAAGAGCTCTTATGCTAGAAATACCCAGAGGTTTCATCTAGAGATCTAGAGTTTGAGAAGTCTAGAGTTCCTAGAGGTCTAGTGGTCACCCAGGGCTCAGGCCTAGAGATGAGGATCTGGCGTCTAGAATTCTAGACGTCTTGAGAGACAGAGAGATCTAGATGTAGACACCCGTGGGCCTACAGAAGATGGTCCCGCCGGACCTCAGCCGCAAGTGCAAGATGGCGGATGGTAATATTCCCCGCCAGACTCAACCGCCACGCCAGCTCCGGCTGGCCGTGCTCCCAGGAGGACCTCAATTGCCCGCCAAACCTCAACCGCGAGCTCTGCCTAGCAAGATTCCTCACCGGACCTCAACCGCGAATTCCGCTTGGCAATATTCTTCACCGGACCTCAACAGTGAACTTCGGCCAACAATATTCCCCGCCGTGCCTCAACCGCAAACACAAACCTCCCAAACACACAACCACAAACACACAAACCACACACAAATCGCAAACATAACCACAAACACAACCACAATCACAAATCCCCAGCCACAAACACACAATCACAATTACAACCACAACACACAACATTTACACGCAACCACAAACACACAACCATAAACACAACCACAATCGCACAACCACAAACACGCAAACACAACACACAATCACAACGCGCAACCACAAACACAAACACAGAGACCACAAACACAACTACAAACACACAACCACAACACACAACCACAGCACGCAACCAGAGCGCACAACCACAACAAACAACCACAACACTCAAACACAAGCACAAAAGCACAACCGCAACCACGCAACTACACCAATCTAATTAATTGTGTTTGTGGTTTTATGCGTGACATTTTTGGCCGCCGATTGGAGACCCTAGCGGCATCCCGACCCGAATCCAAACCCGAGGTTCCACAAGCAAAGCCGAAGATCACAAAACTCACTACTGTGGCAACATGCTCCTCAACACGGCGTGACAACACATATTAATTGAAATGTGATCTTTTTCTCAGATAGCCAGCCACCGCGTGGAACCTACTAGTGGTCGAACCCTTCCCAAGACCTTGTGGCTCCAATTTAAGAGATGTATTTTTGGGTAGGTCACGTCCATCAATAAAGCCTACGTCTTTCAGGCAGAATCACAAATAACATAGTCCTCAAAGAATTGGAGAATTGGGAAATATAAATAGTAAATTGGAAAAGACCAACCTCAATTACCAATTCCACCACCCCGTTCCCTATTTACACCCAGCCACAATTGGAACGCTCCTATCTAAGGTAACCCAACCCCAAGCCTGGCCACCTATAATCCCCAATCAGTCCACGAGTGGCTAAGCCCTTGTGTCCCCGATCAAAGCTTGCTTCTTTCAAGCGGAGGCGCCGACAATGTAACCCTTGAAGAATTGGATGGTTGGGGCATACTGAATTGATTGACAAATAAAAACATTTAGCGGTAAATGCCAACAGCACACCTTTCCTTGTGCACACCCAGCACCCCTTCCAGCCCACCAATGCCCAAGATTCGAACACCCCCTGTCTAGAATTGGAACGTGTAGGCACCCTCGACGCCTGAGGAATGATAAGGCCCCTTCTTGTTGCTCCAGAAACAGGGGGTCTCTCATCCCATAGATGTGTTTTGATATTGTAGTATGTTTAGGCTTCTTGATTTTATAGAAACTATGTTGCCTATAATAATTTTTTAGATCTTGTGAGCCCGATTTTATATATTATACAATGTCTACGCGCTCTTGATTCTTTGCCACATTTTCTTTCTTGAGGGCTATATGTATAGATTTAGGCTTCTAAATTGGGATGCATTGATTAATTTTGTAATTTTAACGATATTATTGTTTTTTAATTTTAATTTTTTGAAAGATAACAAAAGATAAATCTTAGGCGAATTTGATTTGTATTATATATAATTGTGAATATTTTTAAAGATAAAAAACATTTGAATATATTCTATATTTTATTATAAATATATTTGATGATTTTTTTAGATATAATATGTAAAATATTGGTAATATGTTTGATTTTTAAATATTGAACAAAACATTATTATATTATTAATAAAAAAATATTAATAAATATATATATTTATATTTAATTATATATATTTTTAATAATCGAAGAATGCATTTTAATCTATTTACGAAAGCTAGCGAAGCTAGCTGGAGTTACTCTTGCGATAGCAAGGTTTCTTTCGACTAGGTGCAAATCCTAACCCCTGATTTTTCAGGTCGAAGACCCCCCCCCTACCCC